TTAAATTGCAATCTTTAACCAAATGAAAATGTATTAATTACTTTATAAACAAATCTACAACTATCACAATGCAAAATACATAAATATATGTATACATAAACAGAAGGTATTAAAACAAGCGGCAGGTTTTTTCAAAATTTTAAATTTGAAAATCCTCAAAAATATTCTACGGTTGGACTGAAATCATAAATTAAACTATATATAAGATATATATATATATATATATATATATATATATATTAGAGAAGCTTTATATATATATATATATATATATTAGAGTGTTTATAATTTATATCACAAAGAAATAGCAATGTTAATGTGATTAATGGCGAAATCACTTCGCTAATAAGACTTAATGATACATTGACTTATTATCACTTCCTTGAATAATAAGATCCTTATATTCGAACTGTTGCCAGGTTCAAGGCACATGCTGAGTACTTTCAACAATTTCGAATTGTCATCTTCAGGGCAATTTTCATAGGCAAATACAAAGACGAAATATGTGTAGACCGAAAGATGTGTTTTTTTAATTATGCTATTTATTGATAGTTACATATATGTTTTAGAGCATGATATACCGCCCGTGCGCAAATTTACTGTGCATCACCTTGTCATCAAGGCACTCCCTAGATATTTACGTCGTAGTGAATTATTTCTCATTTGATCAAAGTAGCATTTTTTATATCAAAATTGTCTTGAGGCGTGTAGTGTTTACTTGAATTCAGCGGAAACAGAACTGAGCAGTATTAAAAAAAATAAGAACTACATGAGATATCCCTAGACACGAGTAGTGGAACGAGAACAGTCTACTCCGTAAATTAAATAAAGTGTTAAGTTCGGAATTCCATGTAGCTTAGCGAGACCTATATACACCTGATGAAGGCCGGAGGTTCAACGTTCGAAATACTGTGATTAGAACAAAGATGAGGACAATATTCCGAATGTAAATAGTGTGAATAATAATAAAAATGAATTGTGATTTCTTTCTCCATTTAACCCAGGCTTTGAAAATTAATAAACTGTTTAGTTCATAGAAAGCTTTCTTCGTGTACCGTTATTAAAAGACATTCGATGAGCGCATAACTGTGTTGCAGACAAGTTGTAAATTCGAATGCGCCTGTCTCTCTGCTCACCCGTTAATATGTACGCATGCGCACTTGGTGTCGATTGAATTCTCCAGCGTCTCTGGCTAATTTCCCTCCCTTTTATGTTCATGGCTAAATTCCAATCACGTGTCTATCACAGAAACTAATATGGCGGACCGTGCTCTTTGGCCATTTCTGACCTTTGGTTTGTTAATGGCTCCATTGCTGGATAAACGGTCGTCGAATGGTTTTGTGAGGGTTTTTCCTGGACAGTAACTCTGAACCACTATGGAGGTTGTTGTCCAGGGTTGCAATGATGGAGAGAAAACGGAAACGGAGGGTCAGCGATGTGGCCGGGGAAAAGACTGGAAATTGGATTGGGTTCGTCATAAAACATTCAATCAATGATGTCTTCTTTTTTTTTTATTTAGACGGGGAAATTTTTCATTTATTTTTTTTTTTTTTATATATATATTTCTTGTCTTGTGTTTTGTTTTCTTCATGTTTGGACGGGGGCTTCTTTGAAATGGAGGAAGAATAGGTCGGCTGAATAAATGATTGATGGAGAAAGAGAAAAGAAAAAGAATTGACAGATTGAAGGAAAAAGGGTGAATAAGTTCTGAGAAGAAAAATAGGAAAAGAAACAACCGGAATTTTTGTAGAAAAACTTTAAATGTAGAAAATAAGAATATGCAAAATATCACAAAAAATATACTTGAATCAAATAGATAGATAGATAGATAGATAGATAGATATGGACTGAGAGGATACAAACATACACACACATACATACATATATATATATATATATATATATATATATATATATATATATATATAAAAACATTTGAAATATAACACAAACAAAATAAACTTTTACGTTCCACATTAGTTTAAATGTCTATGCTTCGTGTGAAACAACAATCTTGCAAAGGTTTGCGCTTCAAATCCACACGAAGGGCATACTGATGGGTTGACCGTGGATTTATGCTTCCAGCGTTTTATATGCACGTGTTTAGCGTTGCTTAATTCATCGTCAGATGGTTAGGACACATTCTTTTCAAAGTTAGCATTATATTGTACAGTAATTGTCATTTTCAATAATGTCTTATGTAAGCTGAACTCTTAGGATGGGGATGCAAAAAATATGGATCAATATTGTGAATTTCTTTCTTCGTTCAATGATAATGTTATTAAAATTATCAGATGTTATGAAAAAAAATTTGTGTAAAAATGTGTGTTTAGACAACACTTGTCTATATTATTTAATGAAACGTTTGTGTATATGTATATGTGTGTTTATATATATATATATATATATATCTATATAACAATGTGAGGGTGATTAAATAAAACAAAAACAAAAAGGGCTGACGCGGTTATGAGAAAATTTATTAAGAGCAAATTTATTTTATAGCACAATAAAACTAACAATTTATATACAGCAAAATATATTAGCTATATAAAAATATATTTAAATAATGAGGTCATAAATATTCATCTTTAAAAAAAAATTCTAGGCAAGCGATGATCCCCAACAAAGTGACAAATTCATTTCTAATAAATGAAAGTCATAAATATTTTTTTTTTTTGTTATTTTTTTACAAATTTATATTTAATTATTTTACTTTGGAAATAATTTATGTGTTATATATTTTAAATAATGAGGTTATGAATAACAATATTTTACCAAATTGTATATAAATATATGTGAAACAAATAATGCCTTTGAAGGATCCTCGAAAATTCGCCATTGGTTCAACCTCCAAATAATATAAATTTCTTTTGTCTTTATTCCTATTTTTATTATAATCTTAGAATCTGACATTTTTCTTATTTATATATTTATATATATATAGAAAGATATTTGTTAAATATATATCATTCTATTGTAATTTTATTATATCTGTGGGTGTAGTTGAATGTGAATTGCATGTAAATTTATGAATCCTGGAATATGGAATTGTCGTCTTTCTGTGCATTCTCTTTCATTATATATATATATTTGAACACTCAAACACTCATATCATCAAGTTTATTATAATATATTAGGCATATGCTAAAATGTACAGACACAGAGGCTTTAAATGCACATATCATAATATATATCAATTTTTGCTAAAATACTTTAGGTCCATAAAAAAAATCAGAAAATTGAATCAAAGTATTTCTCCAAATGCCTCCATAGTTCATCTAAACCAGAGCGTCCAAAAATGACATCACGACGCGATGATCAGTTTCATAGAACTGTGGTACTTTATTATTCTTGGCTAATAAATCCCCATCCAGTAAAAATGAATTTCATATCTGCCGTATTGTTAGTTTGTGTCAAGATTTTTGCCGGCCATTGCTGTCTGGATATCCGGATATTAAAAATGTCATTGACAGCAGGAATACAAAATGGCAAATTCAGTTGCCTGTATCAGGATGTACCGTTGGTCACCAATGAACAAAAAATTCTCTTTTTTTCTTTTATCCATTTGAAAAATGGTTTTTAGCATTCTATATATCTTGAGGTTTAATTATTTTTTTGTATTTTTTTATTTGTATACTTTTCAATAATAAAAATTTTTTAAAACTTTGACCGTCATGCAAAAAAACAACAAAAATTTATAATATATATGAATATATAAATATATATACTATATAATTATATATATCAAGTGGTCTTTTTGTTTTTAAACAGCATTCAGGGGTTATTTCGTAAGATAGTGACAAAACGTCGAAGAGGTGGATGGAAAATTTATTAGATATCACAATAAAAGACAGGACGATGGGTTTGTTTTAACAATTCATTTTATTTAAAATATAAAAATATAAATATACATAATATTTATATGTTTAAAAAAAAAACGTTAAACAAATTGTTATGTACTTGGAGTTATTTATTAGGATTTTGTAAGTAACAGACTTTTTTTTTTTGTATCCAATTAAAGGAAGAAATCTTGAACGGATATTATGATGCATATCCTTTTATTCCATGTACTTTCTGACGGGGGAAAAAATGTAAATGATAAGGGACTGGATTTAGGGAACCGAAGAAAGGATAAAAATTGTTAAATTCAAGATCATTGCCCTAAGATGAAAATTTTTGCATTTAAATTTTTTTTGAAGCCTCAGAATCAGGCAAATTTTCTAAACGGAAATGTGCTCCACTTTTGAGATTATGCGAGAAGAGAAACTAGTTCAAAAATATAGGCTTTTACATTTTAATTCAATGCAAAAAGGGTAAAGTATATTACCGGTTTCCAGCTTAAACTCACGTTGTCTGGGCACCAGGGGAAATCTATATAAATCAGAGATGTTGCCATGAAATGGTTGCAGAATATACATATAGCCAATGTTATTTTGAGAAAGTGACCGGTAAGTCGAGATACACTGGTAATAATTAGATGCAGATCCTTTTTTTTTTTTTTTTGATTTTAGAAATTTAAAACAATTAACAGGAGCGCCTGACCAGATATGGTGATAGTATTCAACAAATGAGTTAAAAAATAATATTGATTTTAAGGAGAATTGAACTTGCAAAAAGTTTCACTAAATTGTATTTAACATTTAAGCGTTTATTAATGAGAGAAAATTTAATTGTAGCAAAAGAATGGATATAATTGGGGAATAAAAAGCGAGATAATAAGTATGACCATCATAAGAACGGTTTAAAAATAAAATCAAGATATTATTGTTTCTGTAAAAAAGAAGGTCGCTTGTTAAGACCGAATGTGATTTGTTTAAAAAAATAAAATATACCCATTCAAACATATTATTGATACGCGTGTATTTTCTTTTCTCCGATTCTTAAATTTTATTATAAATGAGGGGTGAGGAGAGATAACTCGCTAGCTCATCCTGCTACACGCTTTTTATTATTATTATTATTATTATTATTATTATTATTATAAAACAAAATGTTTGATATAAAAAAGTTAATTTTATTCAGGTTTGGTTGAAAAATAGGATTTAAGGAAAGAAAAATAAAAAAAGAATGAATCAGTGTTTGATAATGTTCAACAATATTTCGACATTATGTCCCCTTCTTCAAGTTATTTTGTTAAAAATTTACAAAAAATTATAAATCTTTGAAACAAATGTGTTTGTCGAATTTGTAATGAAATAACGGCTTTGCTGGTAATGAATACGTCCAAAATGAATGAAATGTGGCCAACGTTAAAACATGCAACTGAAATGCTTAATATGATAGTTTTATAAGTCATCTATATATATTTATATAGTTGATATATATATATATATATATATATATACATATGGTATAAATTTTATAGGACCTCTATAGTTAATAAATTAATAATAAGTGTATATACGGCCCTGAATAATTATTAAGTTTTTATTATTATATTCTTAAAACATAACCAATTACCGTATTTATTTCATAATTTTTCTTTAAGTTTTAATTATATTCGTCTTTTTGCTATAATTTCTAAAGGTATTAAATTTCTGTAGTTTTTTCGATAATTTCTTTAGACACAATACGTTTTGTGGAGATTTATTTAAATGTAAACATCTTTTGGGGTTTAAACTGAAAAAATTGTTACCAAAAAATTAAATATGAACATTTCCTGCCAAAAAAAAAATGTGTTAATAAGAATGTCATTAACTATAGTTCAGATTTTAAATATTTTATGAATTAAATTAACAGACTTTTGGGAAAATGTTGACATAATAAAATCTCTAACAATGAAAAAAATATTTCAGCAAATCTTAATTTCTTTTTTTGAGGTTCATTTTAATATATTCAAAATAAATATTATTTATAATATATGCATCGTTAAAATTAAATAAATTCTTAAAATGGAAAAAGGAAAAACAGTTTGAAAACAAAATGTATCTTAAAGTTAAATGAGAAAGACACAATTTAAAGTTCTAGGACACATAATGAGGAAAGAATTTGGAAAGTGATGCCAACACTTAATCAACACTTAAAGGCAAGAGGGACCATCATAAAGTAAAATAATTCCTCTTAAAGAGATAGAACAATCTGTCGGGGACGAAAAAAAACATTCTAAAGATAACAAAGAACATCTTTTTCGTATCTAATTCACAAACAAGTTAAGGACACAGCTGATTTGGACTATACACACATTGAAATTCCGTTCTAGTTTTATACATTTGATATGTTAATATTGTCTAATGTCTCTTCATACATTTTCCATATGTTAATTAAACCCGACGAGGCTATTTGAGCATTTTTAAGAATAGTATTTTTTGTTATTGCTAATAAATTACCTGAAATCTAAACTTAATCTTGAATATATACAGTGCTGTTCAATAAAAGTGATTCACCTGATTTTTTTACTAAATGTTCTCTTCTCCGATGAAACGAAAGTTGATCTAAATTCAAAGGATAAGCGATCTAATATCCGAAGAAGAAGCTTTTGAAAGCTCTTTGAATTTAGCAGTAAGTACTGTCAAGCATCCGTTCAGTATAATGTTCTGGGGATGCTTTTTTCTTTTCATGGAACTGGTTTCTTAAAACCTATTGAAAAGACCCTCAGGGGCGAGCAGTACAAGAGAATTTTAGATTCTTGTCTGCTCCTTCTGCTGAAAGGGTGCAAATCGACCCCACCAAGCTCATTTTTTATGCAGGATAATGCTCCCTGTCACAAATCAAAATTGATGAAGGAATACTTTGATGAGAAGCAGGTGAGTGTTATGACATGGCCGCCCCAATCTCCTGACCTCAACCCCATAGAAAACTTATGGAGCATTATGCTCAACAGGCTTTTGAGAAAGCCTGTAGCTTTATAAGAGGATTTGATTGTGAAAATATATCGAATAGAATTCAATGCTTGGAGATGAGATTTGCCAGAGATTTCAAGTCAATGCCAAAAAGGGTTGAAAAATTAAAAAAATAAAGGAGGACCCATAGATTATTAAATATTTGAACTATATTACCTATTATAAATAAATTATATTTTATTCTTTATTTAACAATATCGGTTAACACACACAACACACAAAAATATATCAGATATATATATATATATATATATATATATATAGAGTTTATATATTTATCTTTTTAAATCCAAATATTCTTTAGATCTATCTCTGATCATTAAACTTTTTTAATAAGTTGTTTGCATATAATATATAACATAAATTTATCGGAAATATTTATTTATATTTAAATAAGATTCAACCACAAGTTTTCAAACAAGTTGAACCATTAAAAGACATTTATAAATATAATATATAATTCCAAAGGTTACAAATGTCATATTTCGAAGTCCATGAGAAAATGAAAAAACATAAAGAAAAAAGAAAACAAATAAATTTTTTGGGAAATCTCACTTTTTGCCAGAATGAAGGTTAGAAAAAAAAATATGACAAAAAATATTGAAAATAAATTATTTTTTTTTAATCGTTTAAACAGAAGAATTTTCTTCAAACAGAATTTATATATATATTAATATATATATATAACAATGATATACTATATATATTGTCAATACACTGTGTCAGAAAACAAATAAATACATCATTTGAATTTTAGAATAGAATTTAATGAATGCATTAATTTATTCATTTGCACTTGAAATATTTTTTTTTTAAAGGAATGCATTGAATGCTATATATATAAAAAAAATATGAAAAGAAAAAAAATAAAAATTAAAACATGTTTTTAATATAAATGTATATATATAATTTATACTTATATATTTTTTCCAAAAATTAGTGAATGAAAAAATCCAAGGCAGAGTGGTTTGACATAGGAGGTTTTTTTTTTTTTTTTTGGAAATGGAAATTTAAAAAATTCAAGGATCCAAAGAAAACCAAACATGGTCATACTTTTAGGAAAAATGAAATGTTTATTTTTCTTAAATTTTAATTTACTAAATGAAAAATACAGGTAAGCCATCAAAATCATCAGAATTTTCATTTTTTTCTTTTATTTAATTTTGACATTCATTACCAGTCAGTCTTGATGGAAATTTGTAAAACTTTAAAAACCATTTTTATATTTGAAAATATTTTTTAAGTCCAGTTTATTGCTTTTGCCAGAAATGATTCATTTTGACAGTTTTATTTTTTAAGTAGTGTGAAAATCATCATCTGATTCTTGCATTCCCATTTTGTGTGTCATTGTTTTGATGTTTTAGGTGCAAGTTTTGTATCAATGTTAATTTATACCCAATTCAATTTTACAAGTTTGTATAAAAAAAAACCAAGGAATGAAGGATGGTAATTTAAGAAAATTCCCTGAAACCATTTTAATCTTTTGGATCTGAGAAATAAATGGTTAGTTTCTGATTTATCATATCATTTTTTTCTTGAGATATTTTGAAATCCCCAGCAAAGCCAGTACTGTCAAAAGTTTGGTAAAAGGGTATTCATTTTTAAATAGTCAAATTTTTATTTGCATTCAGTTTGTTTTAAAAAAAAATGAAATTAAATTTGATATTTCATTGAAATGCAAACATTTTTTTGGTATACTTTTTATTTTAATTAATGCATTTTAAAAATTAACATGAAAAAAAAAAAAACTATGAAAAGAATTTTTTTCTAAAGAACTGAGATAAAATGATTGACAAGAAATCCATTTTTAATATATAGACCTATATATAGATTTAAAATATATGACGGATATATTTAAAAAATTGATAAAATTTTGAATAGAATGAATAATTAAATAAACCATACTTTTTGATTGAAGATTTTATTTCAAAAAATAAAAACTAAAAGAAAAAAACTGTCAGCTAAAAATAACCTTTTATTTACCAAAGAGCCAGATTTATTTCTGAAGGTGATGTATATCACCAACAATATATATTTTAAAAACATTTATAAGATAGATAAGATTTAATCCTTTAAGAATATATATTGGATATTTTTTGTTAGAGAATTTATGAAATTAGACTCAAATGTGGAAAAAGTCAGAATGATAGGATAAATAAGCCATAAATTTTTTTATATCTTTTAAATATAAAAATTTTGCGTTTTTTATATATTTCATTAAGAAATTTTGATAAAATTAATAAAAATCTGTCTTCTTTTGTTGTTTAGGACCATATATAGAGGGTAACAGAAATTTCCAAATCTGAATATAAACATGGAGAAAGCATATAATCCAACGAACTTTTTAAAGAATTTAAAAAATTGAATAAATTATTTTTAATATATACCATTTTTGGTAAAAGCGGGAATCTCCCAAATTAGGAAACTAATTAATTAAAAACAGGAAAAAACAGAATGGAGAAAATTGAATAACATTTAGAGAGGTTTACCCAGCCACATTAGACGCCCCCATCTTATGGCGAATTTCAATAAATAAATCACTGCAAAATTTATTTAGTTATTATGTTGAATATAGAATAAGGTATTTTTTTTATATATAAAGACCAAGTGTCTCTGTATAATCTGATTTTAAAAACTAGGGGTATTTTTTTTTTTGTTATTGAATTTTTTAAAAATAATTAAATTCAACAAATCACTTGAAGAACTACTAAGTTTGAAAAGTTTTAGCTATTGTTTTATGATTTTTAAGAAAAATAGTATTTATATTTGTTGATAAATTATATAGATATATAGATAGATAGATAGATACATAGTGACCAGATAAATATGAATATATATATATATATGATTTTATACCTTATTTATATATATATAGCAAGTATATATATATATATATATATATATATATATATATATATATAAAAGAATCGGACAAATATGGATTCGTTTTTGAAACTGTAATTATTTTTCTGTTTGTCTTTTTATTAAACAAGAGAATAAAAAATAAAATTTACCAAACAAAAGAAATGTTGTATTTTACAATTAATTATACAAAAAATGTTTTTGGATTTAAGCAAAAATATTAGAGAAAACGATTAATTCGAAATTGAACTTAAAAAGAACTATAACGCATTGAAAGGTTTGTTTTTGTTCGAAAATTGTAATAATTTTGGAATAAAGATATTATTTAAAGAATCAAAAATCAAAAAATAATGAAAAAACTTTAAACTATTTTTGTCAAAAACACTGATTTTTTGATTTACCACTTTTCAAAAAACATTTCGAAAAACTGTTTTTATTGATCCAATTCATACATGAACCTTTCAAAAAAAAAAAAAAATTTTTTTAAAATTTAAATTAAAAAAAAGAGGAGGAATATAAAAAAGAAGATAGATAATGAAAAGATTGAGACAAATGATAATTGTAAGTTGAAAAAAGAAAAGATAGATAGATATTAAAAATAAAAATGAAATTTAAAAAGATAGATAGATAGATAAAGAGGAAATAAAAAAAAATAAAAAAATAATAAGAATAGATAGATTTGATGATAAGAAATGAAGAAAAATGAAAATTATTTAAAAAATTAGAAATGTAAATTGAGAAAAAAATCTGTCTAAAATGAAATGAGGTAGAAAAAATTTAAGTTTAAGGAAAACTTATAAAAAATATCAAATTTTAAATGTCACAATGGATGGAATAAAACATGAAAAAAAAAAAATCTGAAAAAATTTTGAATCAAACCAAAAAGAAAAAAAATAAATAAAAAGAGATAAAAAAATGCTAGAAATTTTGCAAATTCTTTAAAAAAAAAAAAAATAAGAAAGAAAATAACAGGAATTGAAAGAACTTGTGTAAAAAAGTTCGGAAAAAGGAGCCAATGAATGAAATTAAAATGAACAAAACAAAGAATAAGAAAGAATAGAAAAATAGATGAAAACTGAAAGAAAGAAATCTCCAGAATTAAAATTGAAATAAAAAAATGATTATCCTGAAAGAAAAAAAAATGTTTTAGAATAAATCATTGTTTAAGATAGATCAAGACCAAAAAAATGAAATAAAAAAAGAAAATAGAAAGAAAAAAAAAGAAAGAAAAAGAAAGAGAAAAGAAAGAAAAAGAAGAAAGAAAGGAAAGAATAAAAAAAAAATGAAAAAAAAAGAAAGAAAAGAAAGGAAAGAAAATAAAGAAGAAAAAAAGAAAGAAAAAATGGGGAAAAGAAAAAAAGAACAAAAAAGAAAGAAAGAAAAAGAAAAAGAAAGAAAAAGAAAGAAAAGAAAAAAAGAAAGAAAAAAGAAAAGAAAAAAAAGAAAAGAAAGAAAAAGAAAGAAAGAAAAGAAAAAAAAAAAAGAAAATAAACAAAAAAAAAAAATGCTATTTTTGAAAGAAAAGATGAAAGAAGAAAGAAAAAAAAGAAAAGAAAAGAAAGAAAAGAAAGAAAAAGAAAAGAAAAAAAAGAAAGAAAGATAAAAAAAAGATCAGGTTTTGAGAAAAAAGATTTAAGAAAAAGAAAGAAAAGAAAAAATAAAGAAAAGAAAAAAGAAAAAATAAGAAAGAAAAAAAAAAAAAAGAAAAGAAAAAGAAAAAAATAAAGAAAATAAAATAAAATAAAAGAAAAAACTCAGCGTGATTTTTTTTTAATTCTAGGAAAGAGATGAAAAAAAGAAAATGCTAGTCGGCTGAAGATAAGAAACAAAACGAAATAACAAAAAGTAAGGAAAAGAAAGAAAAAAGAAAGAAAGAAAGAAAAAAGAAAGAAAGAAAGAAAATATTACAGAGAAGGCAACATCTAAATTCAAAGAAAAGAAAGAAAAGAAAGAAAGAAAGAAAGAAAAGAAAGAAAAAAAGAAAGAAAAAATTACAGAGAAGGCGGATATAAACGTTTGGCATAATTCTATATAAAGAAATTAAAAAAAGAAAAAAAAGAAAGAAAAGAAAGAAAATGGCAACACTGAGAGTTTCGGATATAATCACTTTATTTTTCTAAGAAATATTTCTAAAGAAAAGAAAAAAGAAAAAAAGAAAAAAAGAATGTAGCATAAAGAAATCTAAAAGAAAGAAAATATTCGGATATAAGGACGAAGCTTTATTTCTATTGTATATATTCTAAGAAAGAAAGAAAATTCTTACAACATTAAAGCAAAAGAAAGAAAAAAAGAAAAGAAAGAAATCTAAATACCAACACTGAGAAGTTCGGATATAAGGACGTTCAGCTTTGATATTTCTAATATAAAAATTAAGAAAGAAAGAAAGAAAAGAAAGAAAAATATTAGAAAATATTCGTACAACATCTAAATACCAACACTGAAAAGTTCATAATATAAGAAAGAAAGCTTTGAGAAAGTAAAGAAAGAAAGATTAAGAATTAAAAAAAGAAAAAAAAAATATTAGAATGTAGCACATTCTTACAACATCTAAATGGCAACACTGAAAAGTTCGGATATAAGGACGTTCAGCTTTGAGGATTTCTACTCTATATATTTCTAAAGATTATATGAATTAATTGCAAAGAAAAAAAAGAAAAATATTAGAATGTAGCATATTCGTACAACATCTAAATACCAACACTGAAAAGTTCGGATATAAGGACGTTCGGCTTTGAGGATTTCTATTCTATATATTTCTAAAGATTATGTGAATTAATTGCAAAAAAGAAAGAAAAAAAATATAGAAAGCAATTCGTACAACATCTAAATGGCAACACTGAAAAGTTCGGATATAAGGACGTTCAGCTTTGAGGATTTCTACTCTATATATTTCTAAAGAATATTTCTAAAGATTATATGAATTAATTGAAAAGAAAGAAAAAAGAAATGTAAAGACAAAAACACTGAAAAGAATGAAGCATATTTTATTGTATATATTTAAAAGAATATGAATTAATTGCAAGAAAAGAAAAAGAAAAATATTAGAATAGCATATTCTTACAACATCTAAATACCAAAAAGTTCGGATATAAGGACGAAAGCTTTGAGCATTTCTATTGTATATATTTCTAAAGAATATGAATTAACTGCCAAGAAAAAAAAAAATATTAGAATGTAGCACATTCTTACAACATCTAAATGGCAACACTGAGAAGTTCGGATATAAGGACGTTCAGCTTTGAGGATTTCTACTCTATATATTTCTAAAGATTATATGAATTAATTGCAAAGAAAAGAAAGAAAAAAATATTAGAATGTAGCATATTCTTACAACATCTAAATACCAACACTGAAAAGTTCGGATATAAGGACGTTCGGCTTTGAGCATTTCTATTGTATATATTTCTAAAGAATATGTGAATTAACTGCCAAAAAAAGAAAAAATATTAGAATGTAGCACATTCTTACAACATCTAAAAATGGCAACACTGAGAAGTTCGGATATAAGGACGTTCAGCTTTGAGGATTTCTACTCTATATATTTCTAAAGAATATGTGAATTAATTGCAAAGAAAAGAAAGAAAAAATATTAGAATGTAGCATATTCTTACAACATCTAAATACCAACACTGAAAAGTTCGGATATAAGGACGTTCGGCTTTTGAGCATTTCTATTTCTATATATTTCTAAAGATTATATGAATTAATTGCAAAGAAAAGAAAAGAAAATATTAGAAGAAAGCATATTCTTACAACATCTAAATACCAACACTGAAAAGTTCGGATATAAGGACGTTCAGCTTTGAGGATTTCTATTCTATATATTTCTAAAGATTATATGAATTAAAAGAAAAGAAAAGAAAAAAATTAGAATGTAGCATATTCGTACAACATCTAAATGGCAACACTGAAAAGTTCGGATATAAGGACGTTCAGCTTTGAGGATTTCTATTCTATATATTTCTAAAGATTATATGAATTAATTGCAAAAAAAAAGAAAAAATATTAGAATGTAGCATATTCTTACAACATCTAAATACCAACACTGAAAAGTTCGGATATAAGGACGTTCGGCTTTGAGCATTTCTATTGTATATATTTCTAAAGAATTATGTGAATTAACTGCAAAGAAAAAAAAATAAAAGAAAAGAATTAGAAGTTCGGATATAAGGACGTTCAGCTTTGAGCATTTCTATTGTATATAGAAAGAATATGTGAATCTGCCAAGAAGAAAGAAAAAATTAGAATGTAACATTCTTACAACATCTAAAAGCAAAGAGAAGTTCGGATATAAGGACGTTCAGCTTTGAGGATTTCTACTCTATATATTTCTAAAGATTATATGAATTAATTGCAAAGAAAAGAAAGAAAAAATATTAGAATGTAGCATATTCGTACAACATCTAAATACCAACACTGAAAAGTTCGGATATAAGGACGTTCGGCTTTGAGCATTTCTATTGTATATATTTCTAAAGAATATGTGAATTAATTGCAAGAAAAAAAAAAAAAATATTAGAATGAGAGAAGTTTCATTCGTTACAACATCTAAATGCCAACACTGAAGAAGTTCGGATATAAGGACGTTCAGCTTTGAGGATATTCTATTTCTTCTATATATTTCTAAAGAATATGTGAATTAACTGCCAAAAAAGAAAAATATTAGAATGTAGCACATTCTTACAACATCTAAAATGGCAACACTGAGAAGTTCGGATATAAGGACGTTCAGCTTTGAGGATTTCTACTCTATATATTTCTAAAGAATATGAATTCAAAGAGAAAAGAAAAGAAAAATATTAGAATGTATATTTACAACATCTAAAAAGTTCGGATAAAAATAACTGATATATTTCTAAAGTTATGTGGATAGAAAAGGACGAATTCATTACAACATCTAAATACCAACACTTTCGGATATAAGCTTTGAGCATTTCTATTGTATATATTTCTAAAGAATATGTGAATTAACTGAAAGAAAAGAAAAATATTAGAATGTAGCACATTCTTACAACATCTAAATGGCAACACTGAGAAGTTCGGATATAAGGACGTTCAGCTTTGAGGATTTCTACTCTATATATTTCTAAAGATTATATGAATTAATTGCAAAAGAAAAGAAAGAAAAATATTAGAATGTAGCATATTCGTACAACATCTAAATACCAACACTGAAAAGTTCGGATATAAGGACGTTCGGCTTTGAGCATTTCTATTGTATATATTTCTAAAGAATATGTGAATTAACTGCCAAGAAAGAAAAAATATTAGAATGTAGCACATTCTTACAACATCTAAATGGCAACACTGAGAAGTTCGGATATAAGGACGTTCAGCTTTGAGGATTTCTACTCTATATATTTCTAAAGATTATATGAATTAATTGCAAAGAAAAAAGAAAGAAAAAATATTAGAAAGCATATTCATTTACAACATCTAAATACCAACACTGAAAAGTTCGGATAAAGGACGTTCGGCTTTGAGCATTTTATTGTATATATTTCTAAAGAATATGTGAATTAACTGCCAAGAAAAGAAAAAAATATTAGAATGTAGCACAACAACATCTAAAAAAGTTCGGATATAAGGACGTTCAGCTTTGAGGATTTCTATTCTATATATTTCTAAAGATTAAATGAATTAATTGCAAAGAAAAGAAAGAAAAAATATTAGAATGTAGCATATTCTTACAACATCTAAATACCAACACTGAAAAGTTCGGATATAAGGACGTTCAGCTTTGAGGATTCTATTGTATATATTTCTAAAGAATATATGAATTAATTGCAAAAGAAAAAAAAAATATTAGAATGTAGCATATTCGTACAACATCTAAATACCAACACTGAAAAGTTCGGATATAAGGACGTTCAGCTTTGAGGATTTCTACTCTATATATTTCTAAAGATTATATGAATTAATTGCAAAGAAAAGAAAGAAAAAATATTAGAATGTAGCATATTTCTTACAACATCTAAAACCAACACTGAAAAGTTCGGATATAAGGACGTTCAGCTTTGAGGATTTCTATTCTATATATTTCTAAAGAATATGAATTAATTGCAAAGAAAAAAGAAAAAATATTAGAATGTAGCATATTCTTACAACATCTAAATACCAACACTGAAAAGTTCGGATATAAGGACGTTCAGCTTTGAGGATTTCTACTCTATATATTTCTAAAGATTATATGAATTAATTGCAAAGAAAAAAGAAAAAAAAATATTAGAATAAATACCAACACTATTCGTACAACATCTAAATACCAACACTGAAAAGTTCGGATATAAGGACGTTCAGCTTTGAGGATTTCTTTTCTATATATTTCTAAAGATTATGTGAATTAATTGCAAAAAAAAAAAGAAAAAAAATATTAGAATGTAGCATATTCTTACAACATCTAAATGGCAACACTGAAAAGTTCGGATATAAGGACGTTCAGCTTTGAGGATTTCTACTCTGTATATATTTCTAAAGAATTATATGAATTAATATATTCTTAAAAGAAAAGAAAAAAAATATTAGAATGTAGCATATTATTACAACATCTAAATGGCAACACTAGAAAAAGTTCGGATATAAGGACGTTCAGCTTTGAGAATTTTATTCTATATATTTCTAAAGAATATGAATTAATTGCAAAGAAAAAGAAAGAAAAATATTAGAATGTAGCATATTCTTACAACATCTAAATACCAACACTGAAAAGTTCGGATATAAGGACGTTCAGCTTTTGAGCATTTCTATTGTATATATTTCTAAAGAATATGTGAATTAACTGCCAAGAAAAGAAAAATATTAGAATGTAGCACATTCTTACAACATCTAAATGGCAACACTGAGAAGTTCGGATATAAGGACGTTCAGCTTTGAGGAGAAAAGAAAGAAAAATATTTCTAGTACAACATATATTTCTGAAAAGTTCGGATAAGGATTTGAAATTAATTATTTCTAAAAGAAAAGAAAAAAATATTAGAATGTAGCACATTCTTACAACATCTAAATACCAACACTGAAAAGTTC